TTTTTTTTTTTTTTTTTTTTTTTTTTTTTTTTTTTTTTTTTTTTTTTTTTTTTTTTTTTTTTTTTTTTTTTTTTTTTTTTTTTTTTTTTTTTTTTTTTTTTTTTTTTTTTTTTTTTTTTTTTTTTTTTTTTTTTTTTTTTTTTTTTTTTTTTTTTTTTTTTTTTTTTTTTTTTTTTTTTTTTTTTTTTTTTTTTTTTTTTTTTTTTTTTTTTTTTTTTTTTTTTTTTTTTTTTTTTTTTTTTTTTTTTTTTTTTTTTTTTTTTTTTTTTTTTTTTTTTTTTTTTTTTTTTTTTTTTTTTTTTTTTTTTTTTTTTTTTTTTTTTTTTTTTTTTTTTTTTTTTTTTTTTTTTTTTTTTTTTTTTTTTTTTTTTTTTTTTTTTTTTTTTTTTTTTTTTTTTTTTTTTTTTTTTTTTTTTTTTTTTTTTTTTTTTTTTTTTTTTTTTTTTTTTTTTTTTTTTTTTTTTTTTTTTTTTTTTTTTTTTTTTTTTTTTTTTTTTTTTTTTTTTTTTTTTTTTTTTTTTTTTTTTTTTTTTTTTTTTTTTTTTTTTTTTTTTTTTTTTTTTTTTTTTTTTTTTTTTTTTTTTTTTTTTTTTTTTTTTTTTTTTTTTTTTTTTTTTTTTTTTTTTTTTTTTTTTTTTTTTTTTTTTTTTTTTTTTTTTTTTTTTTTTTTTTTTTTTTTTTTTTTTTTTTTTTTTTTTTTNATTTTTGCTATGGTCTCTTTAGTTTCTTTTGCATTTATTTCTGCCCTAATTTTTAAGATTTCTTTCCTTCTACTAACCCTGGGGTTCTTCATTTCTTCTTCCTCTAGTTGCTTTAGGTGTAGAGTTAGGTTATTTATTTGATTTAAAGCCTATTTTATCTCATACCTGTATAACCACTCTGGCTCTCTTTCATAACTCTTTTCATCATTTCGTATCTTTTTCCATTCTTTCACTTTCAACTATTTTGTGTCTTTGAATCTAAAGTAAAGGTTTTATGAACAGCATGTAGTTGGAGCATGTTTTTAAATCTGCCAATCTCTGTCTTTTGATTAGGGTGTTCATTCCACTTATATTCAATATAATTACTGATAAGGTAGGATGTATGCCCACCATTTTGCTGTTTTTCATATGTCTTATGTTTTTGTTGTTCTTGCAGTCCTTGGTTCCTCCCCTTTTTTGTGTGAAATAGATATTTTCTAGTGTGCCTTTTTAATTTGCTGTTTTTTTTAATTTATAATATTTTGAAAGAGTTATTTTCTTAGTGGTTGCCCTGGGGGTTACAATTAGTATCTTAATTTAAGACAGTTTAGTTTAGATTAATACTAACTTAATTTTCATAACATACAAAAGCTTTGCTTCATTATAACTCCATTCCCTCCTGACTCCTTTATGCTATTATTGTCATAAAAATTGATCTTTATACATTATAAGCCTGTCAACACAGTTTTGTAATTATCATCTTATGCAACTACCTTAAAAAAAAACAGAGAGTTAAGGACAAAAAATAGAAGAATTACAAATAAAGATGTTTATGGGAATTCCCTGGCAGTCCAGTGGTTAGGACTCCCTGCTTCCATTGTAGAGGGCATAAATTCGATCCCTAGTTGGGGAACTAAAATGCCACAAGCCATGTGACATGGCCAAAAAATAAAAAAATAAAAATGTTTATACTGTCTTTTACAATGCCTACATGTTCCCTTTAATGGTGTCCTTTATGTTTTTGTGTGGATTCAAGTTACCATCTAGTGTATTTCATTTCAGCTCACCGGATTCCATTATTTCTCATAGGGCAGACCTGCTAATGACAAATTGCCTGCTTTTCTTTACTGGAGACGTCTTCCATTTCTCTTTGGTTTTGAAGGAAAGCACAGGGTCTTGGTCTGTCGTTCTTGTTTAGTTGCTAAGTCATGTCCGACTCTTTTGTGACCCCATGGACTATAACCTGCCAGGCTCCTCTGCTCATGGGATTTTCCAGGCAAGAGTGCTGAAGCGGGTTGCCATTTCCTTCTCCAGGGGATCCTCCTGGCCCAGTGACCAAACCTGTCTTCTGCATTGGCAGGCAGATTCTTTACCACTGAATCACCAGAGAAACCTGTTTTTAATCTATTCTCACGCAAAGCCTACTATAGCCTGAAGGAAGCCCAGTGGGCAGTAACCCTGTCCTTCTGTCTTTCCGGGCTTAGATTTATCCTGCCTTTACCACTTGTTAGCTGTGTGACCCTGGACAAGTATGTCATCTCTCTGTGCCTAAGATTTCCTCACATATAAAAACGGAGACAACAATGTTGTGACCATAGCTCCAAAGAGTTTTGGAGGATTAATTAGGACATATAAAGCTCTTGGGGGCTGGTGTGAGCCCAGGATAACACTAGCTCTTAGCTCATGTGCCAATCAAAAACAACCTCCGGGACAGAGGTGGAAGAAGGCAGCAGATTTCAGTGAGTCACTAAGCTCTTCCCAGTTTCAAGGCTCCTCCCTAGGTTCTCTTTGATGACTGTCATCTGTTTTTTCTACAGATGGCCACTAGTGTCATCAGAGACAGCCTGAAGCTGGCAGGAGCAACTATAGAGACATGACATGGAAGAAAGCCCATCCCAGGTTGTAAGCTTCAGTTCAGTTCAGTCGCTCAGTCGTGTCCGACTCTTTGTGACCCCATGAATCGCAGCATGCCAGGCCTCCCTGTTCGTCACCATCTCCCGGAATTTACCCAAACTCATGTCCATTGAGTCGGTGATACCACCCAGCCATCTCATCCTCTGTCCTCCCCTTCTCCTCCTGCCCCCAAACCCTCCCAGCATCAGGGTCTTTTCCAATGAGTCAACTCTTCGCATGAGGTGGCCAAAGTAAAAGCCAACTTTTTCACTCTCCTCTTTCACTTCCATCAAGAGGCTTTTTAGTTCCTCTTCACTTTCTGCCATAAGGGTGGTGTCATCTGCATATCTGAGTTTATTGATATTTCTCCTGCCAATCTTGATTCCAGCTTGTGCTTCTTCCAGCCCAGTGTTTCTCATGATGTACTCTGCATATAAGTTAAATAAGCAGAGTGACAACATACAGCCTTGACATACTCCTTTTCCTATTTGGAACCATATGTGAATAAGACAAAGGGCAAAATCCACACTGTCCTCTTTATTGTCTGGATCCGGAGTGCCTATGATGACAGCTGGCCAGGAGGGACCCTGGCCTTTCCCAAAGCCTCCTCTCTGCTGGCCAGCACCTCTGGACCATTCTGAAGGTCCAGAGAGACCTGAGAAGGAAGGTGCCTGTGCCCTTCCTGGACTCTGCAGGAAAAAAGAGTAGGTGCGTGAAAATCTGCAGCGATGAGGGTCAGCACTCTTCCATCTTATCTTCTGTGCCCAAGTCATTGCTCAAGCCAGTCTCCCAGGACACCTCCAAGATACCAGGAAGCATAGGTGTGTCTCCACTCTGTCACCACCTGGCCCAGCCCCACTGCCTCCGCTCCGTGGGCCAGGTACCTCACTTTTAACCCCTCCCAGCCCCACTCTGTCCCTCTCCTCCCTCCCAAACAAGTGAGACAGCTGACTCATGCCTCAAGGAAGGCCATTTATTTCCAAGATATAGACTATACTGTTCAGACAGGACTTTTCAGAAGCAGGAAATCTTAGTTGTCGCCTAGAGAGGTGTGTCAAGGACACAGTGAAAGGAGACATGCGGACGTCGGGCAGAGGCTTATCCAACACTGTTACAACACTTTTTTAAATGAGCAAAACATCTTTAAAAATCCTTATAAATTCTTTATAATATGTTACACATTTAGAGACAATATTTACAATAAAGGATGAGGGAGGGAGGATCAAGAAATCTACTTTACAGCAAATCTTTGCATAAAACAAGAGGACCGATAGACGTGGCAGTGGGTTCACAACCCCCTGGGCTTCCCTGGGATGAGTGAGGACATGGGTGGAGAGGCCTGTGATCTGAGATCTATTTACAACTGTGGGGGGAAAAGGGCGCTGGGTCCTGCCCTTCCTGAAGGAGCAGCCCAGCACAGATCCCATCCATCTGTGTGTGTGTGTGTGAGAGAGAGAGTGAGCGAGTGAGAAAGAGTGTGAGAGACAGACACTCAGACACCAGGGATGTTTTCTACCCTCCTTCTTAAAGGGAAGAAGGCGGGGCCCGTGTGCCTGAGCTGTGGAAGGAGCAGGCACAGCTGGAAGAACAAAAAGATGGGCAAGAGTTCTAGCGGGGGGACTCTGGACCCTTCCCAGACGGTCTGGGGCATGGGCAGCTCCCCATGGTCGTAAGGTAAAGATTGGAAAAAGATTGGTGTGGGGAGTTACCCTGTAAGTGTCAGTCCTGCCTCTGTGGAGGGGCCCCAACCCCCTTCTCTGGCTCTGACCAGCAGCCGGGGAGCAGGATCCCTGTGCAGGGAAGACGGGGAGCCCTGATGGGGATGGGGGAGGAAGGGGCAGGAGTGGCAGGAGTTGCTACTGGAAACACTTGGATAGTGAGGACACACACTCGCACACACCACCCCCCTCCCCCCACGGACACTATCACCCTACCTCCTCTCCCCCAACTTACATACACACACACCCCCACCTTAGCTGGCAGCTAGGAGCTAATGCGGGGCGGGGAGGACAGAGGAAAGGTGTGAGGAGCCAGCATCACCCAGTGTCTTCTTAGTCTGAGCCTTAGGGGCTCCCTATCCACACCCCATGGGCCGATAAGGGTCCCTAAGGGCAGACACAAGGGCCCAGAAGGGCACACTTATCCAGGGGCCAGAGACCTTCACAGCCCTGCACGGAGACGCAGTAGCCTAACCCTTCTGGGGCTCCTCAGCCTCGGAGCCCCTGCCCGCCGCTCACACTCCGGGTCCAGCCCCGGCTTCTCCGCTGGCCACTCCCGACCAAATCCAGCGCACAAACCAGAGACTCAACCTCAGCGCCCCCTCTACTTGCACCCGGAAGCTCCCATGGGCGACCAGAGAAGGGGTGCAGGCAAAGACGACTCCTGGGAAACCAAGGGGCTCCGGGGGGTTGGCTGGCGCGGGCGGTGTCACAGACACTGATGGAGGCGGGAGGCGGCTGAGCGGCGCGGGGGCTGGCTCTGCGGCGCTCCCGGGTCCCCGGGCGCGGGCGGCAGAGAGGCGGCTGTCGACGGGGCCCGCGCCTTGGTGGACTCCAGGCTGCTGAGGCCCGAGTCCTTGTTGTCGCTGTGCGCCCGCGGGCCCGCGGCCTCCGGGGGACCCCCGCCTCCCAGCTCCTTCCACTCGTTGAAGTTGAGGTCGGTCAGCGGGCTCTGCACCACCACTGTGTGGCGGCGCCAGCTGCTCCGGCGCCGCCGCGTCTCGGGGGACAGCGGCCGCCGCAGCCGCACGGCCAGCATGTCATCGGCGGTGCCGAAGCACACGCTGCGGTCCATGGTGGACAGGGTGGAGTAGCCCGAGACGATGGAGCGCGTGTCCGCGGCCGGCCGCTCCTCCGGCGCCGCCTGGGGGCTGAGGCGTCCGGGGGCCTCGGGGGCTGCGGCTCCCGGCCGCTGCCCCTCCGGCCGGTCCTGGGCCCCCGGCGCCGGTGCCCCCGCCTCAGGCTTGTGCGCTTCCTGCTCCGAGTCGTCGTCTGTGCTGCTGCCCAGTCCCCGCGCCTCCCGCCGCTTCTTCCGCTTGCGGTTGACCGCCGAGATGAAGGAGATCGCCAGCATCTCCCGGGTGTACGGCTCCTTCTTGGGGGCCCATGAGCCCTGTGCGGGAGACAGGTCAGTGTGCCGGAGGCGCCCTCCAAGCTCCAGCCCCTACACCCCCCACACCACAGCACCTAATCTCGACAGGGCCAAGCCAAGCCCAGCACCCCCACGGGCACCGTCCGCTGTTCCCCCCGGGACGGCTGTCCCAACCAGATCCGCCCTAGAGCCTACCACCCCCGCCCCCTCAACTCTGAAGCCTCCTTGGCGCCTCCTCTGGCCTTAATCCAGACTCTGAGCTTTTTCCTGCGAGCTGGGGGCTGGTTTCTCACCTCGCCCCAACTTTCATTCCATTCTCCACATCCAGTGTCGCATAAATCGTTTTAGACTCCAGCTCTACTAATAACAGACTCTAAACAGCGAAATGACACTTGACAGTTTGAACCCGTTTCACGTGTACTACCTGGGTTATGATACCAGAGCCTGCACCTTTCTCTGACAACAACTGTTCCCTCCCTTCCTCTCCACTCAGTCTCACCAGGAAACCAGCCTTTTTACCTATTCAGTGGGAACAGCCTCTCTACGGCAACCTGCCCAAGTTCATGTCCCTTCCCACCGCACCCTAAACATCTCTGTGGTCCCACCAGCACCCTGCTGGTGGCTCAGATGATAAAGAATCTGCCTGTAATGCAGGAGACCACTGTTGGATCCCTGGGTCAGGAAGATCCCCTGGAGAAGGGAATGGCACCCACTCCAGTATTCTTGCCTGGAGAATTCCATGGACAGAGGGCTACAGTCCATGGGGCCGCAAAGAGTTGGACAGGACTGAGTGACTAACATTTTCACTTTTTTTTTTTTTCCCCACCAGCTCTCCACCTCCACAATCCCCAGCTCCAGATCAATCCAACCACCAGTTCTGCTGCCAAAAGTGGCTTAAGAATCCTGCACAATCCGATGGTTTGGATTGAAGCCACTCCCAAATTGTGATTTACAGCTGCAACGTGGGCAGCTTTCTGCCACTGTTCTCACTGCTGAGCCCGTGGGTGTTTTTTGGTCCTGGCCTTCCATGATCCCCTAGCAGAGCCCAAGCTGCCCATCACTGCCTCCTCCACTTGGTTTTTAATCCTGCCTTTCTGGCCTGTCCTCTGTCTCCTGAGAGGCTCGTTTTCTTCTTCTTACCCCTTAAGAAGCCATGTTCTCAGGGCTCTGTTCTCAGCCCCCTTTTTCTTCTCTCTCCCTGGGAATATCCTGCCCCCGAGGTCTCCCTCTCCAACACCAAATTCTTTATTTCTCGAGCTCCATCCAGAACTCCTCTTCCAACTGCAAATCTGTCTCTACCAAGGGGTCTGCCAGCACCTGAAACTCACCTACCTGGAGACACATTACATTCCCTACCCCTGCCCTAGACTGCCAACATTCACGTCCTCACCTCAGATGACTCTTGACTCCTCCCTCTCCCCTCCTCCCTCTAGATTCTCCAGGAATGACTCCCAAAGTGGTTCATCCCCATTATCCTGTGTTCAGACCCTCACTCTGCCTTTTCTAGACCATTGTACCCTCTCCAAATAGGACTCCCTGCCTCCACCCTTACGTCATCCCAGCCCCTCCTCCTCAAGAGCAGTCAGTCCTTCTAAGGCAAGGCAAGAATCTGACTGCCTCCAGCCTCTGCAGGATGAGACCCCCATGAGGATAAAGCACAGACACAGGGCCCTCAAAACCTGCCTGGGGTCCCTCTGCCCTGTCCCCAGTTGAACACAGCCGTCACTCAGGCGATGCAGACCCTTCCCTTGATAGTGCCGCACTTTAACACTGGCAGCTCTTAGTTGCCCCCCCCCCAACCCTATTTATGGGATGAACTCTTACTCCACCTACTAGGTACAGCACAAATACAGCATCCTCTGTACAGCAGCCTCCCACCCAGCTCCTTTAGGCTGAGCTGGGAAATCCCTTCTCTACCTGTTCCATAGACCTTTGAAAATACACATACAGCAGCTGTTTCTCACATCAGAATAGCTTTGTTTCCACATCATCTGTATCAAACCCTGGGTCCTCTGAGAGCAAGGTCGCGTGGCTCGTGTTTGCACCCATGACTCCTAGCACAGTGCCTGTCACATAACAGGCACTTGAGAAATGTTAAGTGATTAAACAAATAGGTGAACGAACGTAGGAAGCTCAGTAGAAGCAGATGCTGGGACTGGTCCCCTGCTGGGCTGGAATGAATGACCTGCCCTGCCACCCCTTCTCACAGGCCACCTCCTGTTGCAGCCACAGTGTAACAGGCACACCTCAGAGATACTGCTGGCTCAGTTCCAGACTACAGCAATAAGGCAAATACCGCAATAAAGTGAGTCACATGAATTTTTCGGTTTCCCAAAGCATATGAAAGTTATGTTCACACAGCAGTCTATTAAGTGTGCACTAGCACTAATGTCTAAAAAAGTGGACATACCTTAATTTAAAAATACTTCATTGCTGAAAAACACTAAACATTACCTGTGCCTGCAGGGAGTCGTAATCTTTTTGGAAAAGTAACATCAAAGATCACTGATCACAGAATACCATAAGGAATATAATTATCATGAAAAAGTTTCAAACAGCACAGGAATTATCCAAGTGTGAACACAGACACGAAGTGAGCAAATATTGTTGGAAAAATGGTGCCAATAGATGTGCTCAACATAGTGTTGCCACAAACGTTCAATTTGTTTTTAAAAAAAAAAAAGTGCAGTAGCCGTAAAGCACAAAGGAAAGTGTAAGAAAACGAGGTCTGCCTGCAGGGGATGGAGACACGGCGCTGCATCCCCTGACCGCCGCCCTCTCTCATATCAGTTAGCTCTGAGAAAACCGGAGTCTGTCAGGGATTCAGGATTCACAGGCCTGTGGCTCCTGGGCCATAGCTGCCCACATGGTGTGACTCTAGAAGGCACGACCTGAAGCTGTGTGAAGTGCAGCACTGCTATAACCAGCCTGAGGCACATGGTGGCCTCTTCCCTGGCCTTCTTTCCTGGCCTGTGCTCTCTGGGAGACTTGAGAGACCACTGGGCTCATCTGATCAAATTACACTCTCATCCTGATGAGTTACAGAAGCAATGACGTCAGAATGGTCACTTCTAGGGAATACAGAGGTCAGCAGGTTCACATAAACGTAGGGCTCAGTCCAAAAGAGGCTACAGGAAAACCAGGGGTCTGGCATGAGCAAGGGGTGGGAGAGATAAGGAACTAGATTCAGCTCACTATAATTAACTTGCTCCCTGCCATAGCAGTCATGTGATGGAGTGAGCTCCCTATCACCAGAGGTGTGCAAGCAGAGGCTCTATGAAGAGGTTACAGTGGACTTCTGCACCAGACTGGAGCAGCATTCCTTCCTTCTGGGCTTTCATCTGACATATAATGAAATAACAAATATGTATTATAAATAATGAATATATAATATATGGATGTATATGTTAATATATAATGAATATAATGACTAGATAACATAATGTGCTTGGTGTCAGGCACACTGATTTTGCTGAGACTCAGCCAGGGCTTAGAGGTCCAGAAAGAAATGAGCCCAGTTTGACCAGCCAACATTTAGCTGATTTCACCCACTACTATGGACAGAGCTATTCCCCCAACCAAATTCATGTGTTGAAGCCCTAAGCCCCCAGTGTGATGGTACTTGGGGTATTTGGGAGGTAATTAGGTTTATATGAGGTTATGAGGGTGGGGCCCTTATGGCTGCATTAGTGCCCTTATAAGCAGAGAAACCAGAGAGCTTGCTTTTTCTCTCTCACACACACACCTGTTCACTTTCTCTCTGCCACATGAGCACATGGTGAGAAGGCAGCCATCTACAAGCCAGGAAGACAGTTCTCACCAGAAACTGACCATGCTAACACCTTGACCTTGGACTTCTAGTCTCCAGAACTGTGAGAAAATAAATTTCTGTTTTTAAGCCACCCAGTAGGTGGTATTTTGTTATGGCAGCCAGAGTTGATTAAGACACACCCCTGGCCTTCAAGCTCTAACCTAACAGTCGGGCAGGGCTCATCTGGGGCAGGCATCCTTGCCTTACTGGCGGGCTCTGGAACAGGCAACTAGCTGCCTATGAGACCTGGTTCAGAGAACCAGCTTAGGCTTCATTGTTTTCAATTTCATTGATTTCAGTTCTTATCTTTATTATTTCCCTTCATTTGCTTTGGGCTCTGCAAAGACCTTAAAAACAATCATTATATCACTCATAGTTGTTGATAACCCCATTTATGAGGAGAAATATTATCCTCATAAATAGTATGAGGAAGCTGAGGATCTTAAAGAAGTTAAATAACTTGCCTAATGTCCCAAAGCTACTAAGTGGTGGAGCCAGGACGCGGGCCCACAACTGTCTGTGCTCCTAACCAGTAGGCAACACTGCCTCGGGCCACCAAACTCCCAAGCCAGAGCTTCCACTTCATCAGTTATCTCCCCAAGCACTGCCAAGGTGAGCAACCTCAGCTTACCTTGGTCACTCAGGTGTTTCCCACCTTCCTTCCCAGTGACTAACAATCTTCTTCAAGGCTCCAATCACAACTCTCCCAATTGTTGTGATCAAAAAGGAAATGGGCTGGCTTGTACAGGGATATAACTTTCAGAATCACTGTGGCACTTACCTTAGACTTGGCTGAACTACAGGTGGTGGAATCTGTTGGTAAGAAACCAAAGAACAATGAAAGTTGGATTGGGCAAGAGAAGGCTGATTCTTGTGAACACAATTCCCTTTCCTCAAAGGCTTCAGAAACCAGGGAGTTCAGAAACCTGAGCTCTCCCCAGGTCCTGGGAGTGTGGTGAACTTCTGATGTCATTTCCTGGGGGATAAGGATGGAGCAGAGAAGGAAGTCAATCACCACTTCCTTTTGAGGCAGGAAGTGACATCAGGCCACTGGACCTGCATTTGCCCAGGGTTAAGGGCAAGGCGGACTTTTCTTTGGCCTCTCCCCTGACCTCCTATCCCTGTTACTCTGAAGTACTAGAGAGAAAATGCCAAACATCAGATGCAGTTCACAGAAACCACAACACAAAACACAGCAAATCACAGATGCTCTGGGGAAATGGAGAGCACACAGTGCAGAGAGGTGGGTGCTCTATACCTCCCCTCACCCCCCAACTTCAGGGACGTGAGAGGGCAGAGGGACATGTGAATGATGGGGTACAGGGCAGACAGGAGATGAGCGGGGCAGGAGGTAGAGAGGGCTGGTGATTGCAGCCTGGAAAGGGTCTACCTCCAGACCAGAGGTCAGGCTGTCCTCAGGGGCAAAGCTGCTGTTTATTATCAGAGTTATGAAGGAGTGCGGAATCCACTCCCTTATTAACACTGGGGTGGGGAGGGACCCAGAAATAAGTCTTGCAGTACTGTCCCCAGGACTGGGGAGGGAGCAGGCCCACCCAAGGACCTCTGGGGGTCAGAAGGGGGGCAGGTGCAGTTAATCCACACTCTCCAGCAAGCAAGTTAGATGCCTCCTCCCCAGCCCTCCCCTGCACACAGTGAGAAGAGCAGATGGGCTGACCACACAGCGACACACACGGGCAGGAGAGTGGCAGCAGGTGATTAGAAGAGACGGGGGGCTCCTCTCTGCCATCCCCACCCCCATGTCCTCTGGCCCCCTCCCCAGCCTGCCTCTTGCAACTAGGGGTGCTGTGGTATGCCTCTGACAGAGACACAAGGCGGGGGGGTGGGGGGTCACCCACAGAGTGGGAGGAGTTAGTGGCTAGAGCCAGAAGGCTGCCCTCTTGTCCCTGGACTCCTCTGCTATGACAGCCAGGGGCCTGGGAGCAGGACTTAAGGACTGAGTGACCAGGGGCTCCGATTTCAGGAGCAGGAAGAGCCAGCCCTCAGAAGCGGCTGAGGCAGAGCTATAGATGTACGTACAGAGGCTTCTGGGGTGGCATCCCTGAAGTCTGGAGATGCTAGGTCCCACTACCAGCCAAGCCTCCTCCACCCAGATAATCAGAAGTGGCCGAGCTCAGCGCAGAGAGAAAGCCATAGAGTTGGGGGGGGGTGCTGTCGGGGGGCAGCCATGTGGTGCCCAGGCTTCCTGACAAGGGGACCCAACTTGGCTCTAGCAAGTGCCTCCTTCATCCTGAGAACGGGCTTTCAGATGGGAGGCTGGTACACTGTTAACAAGCATGGGGAGCTGGACTGTCAGGGAGAGGTCCTCACTGCCCCAAACAGCTCTGCCTGCCCCCCGCCCCATGCCTGCCCAGCCTTCTTATAATCACCCGCCACTGTTAGTGACCGAGGTCGCGATGCCACACTGTACCCTTTAAATCTCCAACAGGTCCGCTGGAGGAGGGAAGGGAGGAGAAGAGAAGAGCAGGATCCAGGGGATGGGGGAGAGCACAGGGAGAAGAGAGAGGAGGGGTGCAAGGAGAAAAGGAAGAAAAATTAAAAAGAGGCACGTGCCCAGGACACAGCCCTCGAGAAACAAAAAGCTCAGGAAAGAAACTGGTGGAAACAAAGCTCCTACCCAGCCCAGGGCAGCCGAGGAGGCAGAAGCCCCCACCACAGCCCAGCCCAGTGGTGGGGGCGGGGAGGGGCCCCGTGGGGCAGGAGCAGGGCAGCTGGGCACCTGGCCAGGCATCCGGGACCCTCAGGAATGCAGATCCCACGGCCTCTCCACCCCTTCCTGGGCCCGTGCTCTCACCTGAGCCCGGCTCTCCAGGCGGCACGGTCCTGCCAATGTTAGGCAGGAGGTACTCGATGTTTGGCACTGACTGAGGCTCCTTGTCATCCACAGGGGTCTGCAAACAGGAGGAGGGTCAGGCCTCACAGCCTCAGACGGGTGGCTGCAGACCCCTCGGAATAGGGAACCCTGAAGACAGGGCGCAGGTCTCCTCCATCAGACTGGGGCTCTCCAGGGCAGGTCCTACATGTCCCCGCCTTCCCCAGCACCTCGGCTGAACCCTAAAGGCCGAGCTGCTCCCTCCGCTGAGGGTAGGATCTGTGTCTCCTCCATCAGACTGGACCTTCCTAAGCCCTCTATCCTTATAAGATTGGAGGGCATGGTCTGCCTTTGCTACTGGACTCAGATTCCTTAGGGCACGGCCTCTATCTCCCCCTCAGACTTGGGGTTCATGAAAGCGAGGACTATATCTCCCATCAGACTGGAGGCTCCTGAGGAGAAGGCCTATGTTTCCTCCATCAGACTGGGATGTCCCAAGGGCAGGAACCTTCTCCCGCTTCGGACTTGCTGCCCACCCCAGCCACCTGGGATGAGGGCCCACCACCAACCTGACCCCACCCCACGGCCCCCTGCGTCACTCACTCTCTCTCCCTTGTCCTCGCTGTCGCTGAAGAACCAGTCTGACTGCAGAGGAGACAAAAGGAAGTGATGGAATCAGCGTGGGAAGGGGCTGAGGGAAGACAGCGAGGCGAGACAAGGGCTCCCAAACTGCTCGGTTCAGAGGACCCACTCAGGCACCCGAAGGAAAAGCTGGGACCCAGTGTGGAAAGGAAACACAGCCTGGAGTGGGAGAGGGTCCGGGTACAGAGAGATGCCCGGCTCAGGACATCACCACATCACCACGGCCGCTCCCTATTGCAAACCAGAAGCGAGGGGCGCAGCAGCGCCATCTAGTGCCAGCGAGTTCCGCTGCAGGGAGACGACCAGCCCCTGCGGCCGCACCTGCGCGTATCCCCCCGCCCCAGTCTGGGCTCCGCGCTAACAGCAGGGCTGGTGCCCCAACCCCAGAAAAGGCAAGTGCCTACAGTGAGGTGTCAGGAGGGTCCCTGAGGGTCAGGCAGGCAAGGGTTTTCTCATATATGCCAAACAGAATAGAAAATAAAAATCCCACTCAAATATGTTTTGTGAAACTTGAGAATCTTGATGATAACATCCTAAAAGCTTTCTGAAAAACAAAAACGTTGCTTACACTGAACAGGTATCAGCTTTAACTAGAACTTTCGGCAGCAACGGATACAGGAAGACAGGAAATACTTGATGTGTTTCTGAACTAAAATTTAAGGGATTTTGAATCTAGAATTTTATATCTTGGTAACCAACTCTCATTTGAGTGTGAAATAAAGCTATTCTAACACATCAGAAAGTTTGCTACATGAACAGTCTCTTAACTGAGTACATGAGCAAGTAAAGAAATGAATCCAGGACAGAACAGGAAGTTCTAAGAAGTAAGGATGCATAATAAAAGTCAATTGTTATCAAACTAAGCAATGATGCACACATACATACACAAACAGACACCAAGTATACCCGTGACAATGTGGACTTCAAATTCATAGGGAGGAACCAGTGACAGGTTGAAAATATACTAAGGTACTTGACTCTTAGATGTGGTGGAAGGAAGATAGGGATACCGATAAATTTTAGAAATTGATAATAAAAATTAAACATGACTACAGGCTTTTTGCAATTGCATCATTAAACATAAATATAGGTTTTATAAATTGTGTAAGTTTTATATCAGGAAAATAAAATCAACCCATACAAAGGTAGGAAAGACCCAAAAAAGCAAATAAAATGAAAATGCAGTAGACAGAAAATGACATTTAAGATGGCAGAAACAAGTCCTAACAGCACAGAAATTACAAAAAGTAAATGAGCTAAGCTCACTAACTCAAAGTTAAAACACACGGAATATTATTTATATTTATATTTATGGATATCTTGATACTTAAAATTAACATGTAGAAGGTGGATTGAAAAGACACAGGTCAACCTATTAGAGTGGTAATTATTGGGGCCTGGGCAGAGTGGGCTTTGGAATGAAGGGAGGAAACAAGGAGACTTACAAAGTTGATTATGATCTTGGGCCATGAACTTCAGTTATTATTCATCATAATCAGGCATATGATTAACTCAAATAAGCAGCCCAGAACAGAAGCAAGGAAGAGACAGAAGAAAAAGAGTGAGCGATGATGAGAGAGAAATGCAAGGTCTGGAGTCCGTCACTTCAGGCTTCAGTTCACCTCAGGTAAATTACCTCTCTGAGTCTACTTACTTATCTTTAAAATGGGCATGATACATCAGTATCTACTTTGAGAACTGTGCTAAGGATTAAAATAAAATACCATACGGCCATTATCAAAACGACAAAAATAACAAGTGTTGGCGAGGATGTGGCAAAAACGAACCCTTGTGCGGTGTTGGTGGGAATGTAGATTGGTGCAGCCTCTATGGAAAACAATATGGAGGCTTCTCAAAAAATTAAAAATAGAATTACTGTATGACCCATAAAATTCACTTCTGGGTATTTATCTGACGGAAATGAAACCATATATGCACCTCCCTGTTTGCTGCAGCCTTATTTACCATAGCTAAGACATGGAAGCGACCTAAGTGTCCATCAATGGGTGAACAGATAAAGAAAATATAGCATATATACACAATGGACTATTATTCAACAATAAAAAAGAAGGAAACCTTCCGATTTGAAACAACATGGATGGACCCTGAGGGCACTATGCTTAGTGAAATAAATCAGGCAGAGAAAGACAAATACTGTATGATCTCACTTACATGCGGAATTAGGAAAAAAATAATCTAGACTCATAGATACAAACAACAGATTGTTGGCTGCCAGAGGAAAAGGGATGGGGAGGTGACTGAAATGGGCAAAGATAGTGAAAAGGTATAAACTTCCAATTGTAAAATGAATAAATAAGTCATAGAGATGTAATGTACATCGTGGTGACTATAGCTAATAATACTGTATTGTATATTTCAAAGATGCTAAGAGAGTAGATCTCAAAAGGCTTCATCATAGAAAAAGTTTTCTATGTATGGTGTTGGATGTTAACTAGACTTATCATGCTGATCATTTCACAATCTATACAAATATTGAATCATCATTTTGTATACTTGAAACTAACAGGTCAATACATCTCAATTTTTAAAAGAGCAAAAAAGAAATACTGTATGTAGAGCATTTAGTACAACACATTAGTGTATAATAAATGTTAGCTATCATTAAAAGGTGCAGTCCTTGAAGACAGACTGACCAGAAGGAGCCCTAAAAAGCCAGCCTCTAACTCAGGTTTGAGAGTACCTGAAAGTGCTCTGAGAGCCCAGAAGGCTACAGGAAGCTTCTGGAAGTCTACAGGAAGCTTCCGGATGGCCCGCGGTTCTCTGGAAGAATTTACACTAGCTCAGGCCACCCTACTTTTGCACATGCTGTTCCCTCTGCCTGGAATGCTCATTCTCCCTTCTCTGCCTGGCTAAATTCCTAGTGTCTTTCAGGAACTCCCTGACTCCGGTCCCAGCCCTGCACCCAGGGCTGGGCTGGGTCCTTCCATGCGGCTTCCCTGGACACAGCCCAGAGCATGGAAAAGTGATGCCCTCACTGGGCAGCATTCCTTCAGAGCAGGGTCTGAGTTCCATTCATCTCTGTGTTGCCAGCACCTGCATTTGTATCTGGTATGGAACAATGACAATGATGGTGATGGTGACGACAATGGTGATGACTAACCCTTATACAACACTTACTACCTGCCAGGCACCATTTTAAGTGCCTCACAGATAATAACTCATGTAACCCTCACAGTAACACTGTGAGACAAACAGGAGAGGAAACAGAGGCGCAAAAAGGGTAAGTAACTTGTCCAAGGCCTCACAGCATATAAGGGACAGAACCAGGGTTCAACCTCAGGCAGGCTGGCCCAGGGGCAGTGTCCTGAACCCTTGCATCAGTACTTCTCAACTGGAGTGACTGTGCCCCTCCAAGAGGGCACTTGGTGACGTCTGGAGACATTTTCAATTGTCACAAGTGGAGGGAGGCTCCTGGCATCTGGCCAAGAGATGCTACAAAACATATTATCAGCCACAGAACAGCCCCCAACAAACCATGATCTGGCCCCAGTGGTCACTAGTGCCGGGTTGAGAAGTTCCAGTGCACACACAGTAGGAATCACCACGTTTGCTGAGTGAATAAATGAACAAATGCCTTGGCATGGTCTTCAGATAGGTTTCAGTTGGCTTAGTAATCATGGGTATGAGCTGGCTTCTGACTTGCTGCTGGGTGGCTGAACACTTAGGTTTGCTCATAACTCGGCCATATCTTGCTGTGGGGCCCTGAGCAAGTCACCGTTCCTCTTCAAGCCTCGGTTTCCACTCTCTGTACAATGCAAGGTCAGGCCTCACACCTTAAGGCCCCTTCCAGCTCTGCTGCCCAAAAGTTCCATGGAACGCAGGAGCCCCAGGCAGGGAGGCAGGGGTGGTCACAGCTGAAACTCCCAGTGGAACAGGAGGTCACGTCACCCATGAACTCCAACCACCCGCTCACTGGCCAGGGGCTCAGAGCCAGAGCAACTGCTGCCACAAGTTCTGCCCTGCCTGCGCTCGGGACTCCACTGGGACTACCCTGGCTCAAGAGTCTCTGTGCTTGACAGACCCTCGCCAACTTGGGTGGGCCGGCTCAGTGGGCTCAACATGAATGAGCAGGCAGCTCACTCTCTTGACAACTGACAATCATCCAGAGCTGATTACTTCAATGCCAAGGGGGCAGAAAATGGAGAGGTGCACTTTTGGTCATGCCCCAGGAATGATTCCCTCGGTAGGAATGCCCAGACTGGCATAACCTCAACAGCAATTCATTTATTCATTCATTCATTCATTCAACCAACACTGAGGGTTCACTCTATGCCAGGCACAGGTTCAGTGCTGGGGTTACACCTATGAAGGAGACCAATGTGCTCCACCTCCCCACCCTACCCAGAAAAGATGCTGCCACTGACTGGAGATGTCCCCCTGAGACCCTAGGGTAGGGGATGTGGACACACTTTTGGCCTCCCATGTCCCTGAAGGTCCTGACACTCCAGCTGACCAAGGCTTTGGGCTTCTTTGGACTTCGCTAGGAGTCAGGGGGCTGGTCTCCCTCTCTTCCTCACTGCCTTCCCCACCAAGCATACACTCATGGGGGCTGCATGGGTTCTTCGTTTGGGGAGCTGAACTTTTCCAAGGGGGGAAAGCTTCCCCAGACCAAGGCCTCATCAGGATCCCTGATACTGCCCAGCAGCCTTGGCCTCCCCAGCAGATCAGGAGTGGGCCTCCGGGCTGGTGGTCCCAATGTTAGAGTGAGAACAGGCCTCGACATACCTTCCTATGGCTCAGAGCTCTGACATGCAGTGAAGGAAGAAAAGAAGCAGGCAAGGCCAGCCAGCATGACCAAAGTCTACCCATGGCCTCAATCAGCTAACTCTGACCACCTTGCTCACTCAAAAGCCAGCTCTAGGATGGACCCAGGAGTCGGCCCTCCCGTTCGGTGGGGTGTAAAGCAGAGGAGTTGGTCAGCCAGATCTGCCTTCAAATCCTGAGGCTGCTACTTAATAGCTGTGTGATCTTGAAGAAATCACTTTTCCTCTCTGAACCCCAGTTTCCTCATCTGTAAAATAGGAGTAACATGACCTGGCTTCCTCCCTTCCCTAAAGTGTCTACGAGGTGGGGGCAGCTGAAGTTCCTTTCCCTTGTTTGTTGTTGTTGTTTGTTATGTATATGTGTTCAGTTGTGTCCGACTCTTTGCCACCCTATGGACTGTAGCCTTCCAGGCTCCTCTGTCCATCGGATTTTCCAGGCAAGAATACTGGAGTGGGTTGCCATTTCCTACTGCAGGGGATCTTCCTAACCCAGGAATCGAAACCACATCTCCTGCATTGGCAGGTGGATTCTTTACTACTGAGCCACCAGAGAAGCAAACCCTTTTTTTGACCAGTTGCCCATCTTATTTCTCCTGGCAGGAGGGTTCTGATTCCATTCTTTGTGGGTTAAACCACAGGTCCCACCAAGATTTGGAAATGGAAAAATCAATGATTCATAAAAACATCTCTGAGTGCCCCCAGAAGGGGGCAATGCTGCCCTGGGTTTGGCGCTTAAAAAAAGGGGGGGGAGGGGGAGGCCTCCTGCGCCCTCTGCTGGCCATTCTGGGTTCTCATCCTGTGGTGGATAATAATACTCCTTAGAAACCACAGGCTCTTGTGGGGCCTCCAGGCAGCCTTAAAGAGGAAGGTGAGCAGCCCAAGACACAGTGACCATGCAGCCAGGATCCTGCCCCAGCCCATCATCCGCCCTGCCCCATCCGCCTCCCCCTCCCCCAGGGAATCGCCATTTTCCCCCTGAAGTCTCAGTGGGCCTGCAGGGACAATGCTGTCCCACCTGTCTGCCCGGCCCTGCTTGGACACCTCTCCCGCGGTCACCTTCTGAAGGCACCCGTTCTTCCACCTCTTCTGCCCTCCAACCCAGCAGCACCTCTCCCCGACCCTCCTCCTCCCTCTGACCTGCACATGCATCCTGGAAACCCAGCAGCCTCCTGGTTCTCCTGCTGGGGACAGGCATTCAGGATTCATACCCGCCTGGCCTTAAAATGCAGCCTACTGCTTCTGAAGGGCCTCCTGCACCCCTGGAGCATTTTCCACATCCTTCCCTGAGCACACCCACCCCGGCAAGCAGGAGCCAGGTGCCCAGGGAGGCTGCTTACGTGCTGGATCAACGTCTCTACAATCTTGTAGCGGTCAGGCATGTGGGTCACCATGTCTGCCATGTTGTCCTCAGACGTCCTCACCAGCGTTGGCCCGAAGACCAGGGCTAAGTTTCGGGGCTCCATCTGGGCAGGGGAGGGAAGCGGGTCAGTGTTAATTAATCCCTGTGAGCTTTGACCTCCAGTCCCCTGGGCCTCCCCTACTCTGGGCCCCTCTGGCCCCCAGCCCGACCACATCCTGAGCTGGCCCTGGCCTGGGGCCATGTGCCTCCTTGCTGGGCATGGAGGTGCCTGGTAAGTAGAGAATAGGTCGGATTTCAGCCCCACTCAACCCCAGGCCCAGCTCTCATGGGCAGTTCCCCACCTGCACACCCGTACTGTCTAGCAGTAGGAGAAGCCAGAGTGAAGACCCACTGGACGTCCCAAGGGTGTTTTGGACTGGCAGGAATCCTGTATGTCCCCTCATTCTCCCCCCCTGCAGAACTAAAAGATATAGGGGTTTGCTTAGGAAAATGCAATGCAAGGGATCCAAGCTCAGTCAGAAGGTAGATTCCACCAGACACGGAATCTGAGGCTCTCCACCCCTGAAGACCCTCAGAAATTCAGAAGCCAGCTCAAGAAGAAGTACTGGCCAGTATGTGGGGGCAGGGGGACAGAAGGACCCCCTAGGTAGGAGGGCAGGGCCAGTGAAGCTTCAGGTTATCTGACCTGGAGGAGCTTATTGAATAGAATATGCTGAGGAGACCCCACTAGGCTTCCCTCCACCACACTTCACACTGGAGCCTGACCCACCTTGTTTTTCTCCGAGTGGTCGGCAATGGTCTTCAGATGACTCACGAGGAATTTGAGTGTTTCATAGTAGTGTCCTGGGAGATCCCGGATCTGGGTGGGAGAAGGAAGGGTGTGATGGCTTTTCCGCCTCCCCACCACACCCCAAAGGGGCTCTGTTGGCATATCTCAGGGGTTCTGGAACCCACTCTCTAACTGGCCCCCGTGCACAGATGGAGAAATTGAGGCCCTGAGTGGAGAAGGGCTTGCCAAGGTCACAGGGGAAGCTGGCGGCCCTGGGCTTGGGCTCCTGGGGCTGCGAAGCTCGCCTGTCCAGCCTGCCCTTGGCCCAGCAGCAGCCCCTGTCCTTACCAGCTTCCGCAGCGTCTTCAAGCGCTCCCTCGAGTCTTCAATGCGATTGGCCTCGATGAAGTCGTTGTATTTGTCTAGAACAGTGAGGATTCTTTAGAGAGGGGGGCTTCCAGGCTGAGGAGGCCCTGCAGGGAGGTCATGTTTGTGCTGAGGTTGTTTCAGTTGGTGAGAGGGGGGCTCCAGGGCCCCGTGTTCATGTGACCAAACCCACCGGAGCTGCCCTCAGGCGTGCACCTGACCCGGAGTAGCGAGAAATAAGACCTCAGCTGCCTGTTGACCCTGGAGAAGGGGTCCCTGCCCCAGGCTCCAGGACAAGGACACCACGAAGTTAGAAGAGAGGGTACCTAGAAAGAGGGGGGCCCTTTCAGCCTCCAAACACCCCTCCCCATCTGTATCAGGGTTCCCCCAACTCCCCTCAGAAGAAGTCCCCGGGGAACTTTAAAAAAGGGAACGTGGTAAGTTTATCCTGAAATACACCTGGATGAGAGAATGTGCAAAGACAGCCAAGAATATTCTCCAAGGGAAGAATGATGAGGGAGGATTTGCCCTGTGAGATACTAAAATGTACTAAAAAGATAGTACAGCTCAGGCAACCTGACACTGACCGGGAAAGGGGATGAAGGGTCAGGATTGAAAGGACGGAGACAGGCCCTGTGGATCTACATGAAAAAGCGTTAGTCGCTACGTCATGTCCGACTCTTTGCGACCCTCTGGACTACAGTCCGCCAGGCTCCTCTGTCCATGGGATTCTCCTGGCAAGAACACTGGAGTGGGTTGCCATTCCCTTCTCCAGGGGATCTTCCTGATAGCACTTCAAGTCAGCGGGGAAGGATGGTGGTATCGATAATGTCCCAGGGACTATTAGCTATCTTGTTGGGAAAATAAATCCATTTCTAGCTCACGTAATACACAAACAAATTTAATTGCATTACAGAGTCAAAAATAACACTTATTCAAGTATTGGGAAAAATAAGAAAATATTTTTATAATCATTAAGGTATTCCTAAACACTCATGTTTACGTATGTATCTCAGTACAGAATCCATTAAAGGTTAATCTCCTAGTAATGACAGAAATGAAAATGAAAACAATAGTGAGATGCCATTTCCCCTCTCTGATCAGCAAAACTTTAAAATATTAATAATATCATCCAGTGTGATGGAGATGTGGGAAAACAAAATATCTTACACCGCTAGTGGGAGTGTGAACTTGGGTCAGCTCCCCAGCATGCAACTTGACTTTAGCTTTCAAAAATGTTTTCCAGGACTCTGACCCAGCCAGTCCACATCTAGGAATCTACCTCTGGGACCCTGGCCCAGGCATGCAGGGACACAGTCAAGGAAAGTCATTGTTAACATGTATTGAAATAGCAAAAATGTGAAGACAATCTAAATATCCATCAGTAGGAGAGTGACTGAGCTTCCCAGGTGGCTCAGTGGTAAAGAATCTGCCTGCCAAACAGGAGACATGGGTTCGATCCCTGGGTTGGGAAGATCCCCTGGAGAAGGAAATAGCAACCCACCGCAGTATTCTTGGCTGGGAAATCCCATGGACAGAGGAGCTTGGTGGGCTATAGTCCATGGGGTATCAAACAGTGAGACACGACTCAGCAACTAAACAACAAGGGGAGTGATTAGACAACATATTGTCTATTCAGGCTGGGAAACACTATGTGGTTGATTTAAATGGAAAACAAGGTCGAGCTCTTTGTACTGACACGAACAAATCTCAAAATTAATGAGCCTCCTTCTGTTGAGAATCGCTCAAGCAGTGGAGCCACTCGCTCACAGGACTCCTGACAGCTGGCTGTGTCTGTCTTGTCCCAGCTCATGTCAGTGACAGCAGATTGGGATCCTGAAGCCAGCCATGGCAGGAGTATCTATACTCTAGAAACTGGAAAGTGCTATCATCACAGCTTTATTCCTTTCAGAGCCAGATGAAACAGCTACCAGCGCGCCACTCAACTCACCCAACTGCAAGCCCTATGTAGGCACATGTGTCTTTGTCACGCATGAGAGAGGGAAAAGGAAAGTGAAAGTCGCTCAGTCATGCCCAACTCTGCGACCCAGGCCAGAATACTGGAGTGGGTAGCCTTTCCCTTCTCCAGGAGATCTCCCAACCCAGGGATCAAACCCAGGTCTCCCACATTGCAGGAGGATTCTTTATCAGCTGAGTCACAAGAGAAGCCCCGTGTAAGAGGGTCTGGAAGCAAACACAGCACACTGTTAACAAGGAGCTCAGCAAACAGCCAGGAGCTGGGCTCTGGGGACAGATGCTTGGGGTCAAATTCTGGCTCTAACACTTACAACCTCTGTGACCTCAGGCAAGTCACTTAACCTCTCTGTGCAGCTGCTCCGTCATCTATGGGGTGGAAATAATAGTACCTACTCATGGATTTGTAGGGAGTAGTGCCTGGCACACAGTAAATGCCCAGAAAGTGTTAGGATACCCTCTGTGGACAGGAAATGGGAAGATGATAGAGACCTCTGTGTTCACTTTATTTATATCAGTACTGAAGTTTTTTACAAGCATGTGTTTCTTTTGTATTTTATCACCCAAAGTAAAATCACACACTCAATTTAAAAAGCAGTCAGGATGCAGCATAGACAGGTATTCCCTCCCCCTTCCGTCCCCCACGTCCGCCCCCAACTCACCATCGGTGAAAAGAGGCTCAGGTAGCTTTCGAAAGAAGGACTTGAGCAGGCTGCTGATCACGTTGAGGTCTTGCCAGCGCTGGGGAGGGGGTAAAGACATAAGGCTGCAGTCAGGCCCTGCCCTGGTGCCCACGCCTCCATGCTGGTCCAGCCCTAGAGCCCAGGCCAGCCTGGTTCTGGCCTTCTCTGGGATCTACTGATACCATACCCAGCTCTGCCCAGACCAGGGGTCACTGGGCTAAGAATACCCATTACAGCAGAACAGAGTCCCCAGCTAGGTCCAAGCCCCTTGAGCCCCTAGCCCCAGCGCCCCCTGCTCCAGCCAGCCCAGTGGGCTTGGACATTTGTCCCTCCACAGAAAGGAGAACACACCTTCCCTGGCGCAGGCACTGTGGGAGACAGAAGTGAGCAAAACCCACCCCCACATGAGCCTGCCCATCGGACCTGCTGGTGCCAACTCCTGCTGGTCTAAATCACGAATTCTCAAGCAGGGACGTTGGAACTGTTTGGTTTTCACAACTGGGGCACGCCACTGGCATCCAGTCGACAGAAGCCTGGGATGCTGCTAAACTTCCTCCAGTGCACAAGACAACTTCCCACAGAAAAAGAGTTATTCTGCCCAAAGTGTCAAGGTTGAGAAACAGGGCTAAGCAAATGATTGTTGAACACAAAAATGAACAGCTGGGTCAGTGTCCCTTCTGTGCACCAGGGGGCGCCATCACCCAATGCAAAGCCCTCCCTGGATAGGAACTGCTCAGAACAACGCATGTTCAGAAAGCAACAGAATCCTCCGGCAAAGACCTACAACTCAGCAATATAGTACTCATTACAATGGGTCCATAGCTCAACGCTTTTTTCTTCTTAACTGATAGTTAATTGAATTTTCATCGACAAGCCCAAGTGCAACGGGTTGCTAGTTGACACATCCTCTTGCCCATCCTACAACCCAGGTCTGCCAGGGACAGATACCACCAGTCCGTAGCTCAAACTTTTGGCTCCTTTCCTACCCCTCCTTCTTCCCTCTCATGCAGCCGAGTCCTAGAGCTGCTCCCATCCTCCTTATCCCCCTGGGACCACTGAGTCCTCCTGACCGCACCCACCCTCCACAAAATGGGTAATTTCTTCCCTAGACAGCCTGCTCTGGACCTCCTTAGTTTGCATCCATTGAAGTGAAGTGAAAGGTGCTTAGTTGTGTCCAACTCTTTGCGACCCCATGGATATACAGTCCATGGAATTCTCCAGGTCTGAATACTGGAGTGGGTAGCCCTTCTCTTCTCCAGGGGATCTTCCCAACCCAGGGATCGAACCGGGATCTCCCACACTGCAGGTGGATTCTTTACCAGCTGAGCCACCAGGGAAGCCCGCATACCCACGAGGCATACGCTAAAGCCCGACTTCTCCAACCCGACTCTCATCGATGCCTCCCCAACTGAAGAAACATCCAGGGCTCCCCACTGTCCATTAGCTCAAGGTCAAAGGCTTTAGTGAAGCCACCAAAAGCCCTCTGTCCTCAGCCCTGGGCCTCACCCTCTCCACTGCCAAGTCCAAGAGGTGGGTCCACTCTCTGTCCTGACACTCAGATCCCTCTCTGGGATACACAATCTGGCCCCTGATGAGAACCAGCCTTTTCTCTTGTCCACTATTTCACATGTGCTCATCTTGTCTCCCGAGCTCCTTCCCAGGGGCAGGAAGACTGTCTTATGTCTTCGCATACAGCTTCAGAGTACGTGACTCATAGGACTTTACTGCCCAAATTCATGGTTTTCTGAAACATCTTTTCTAGCTGAGTCTCTTTTGTCCAGTAAAATGATCCAAGAAAACCCAATATGAAAAAAATCGACATTATAAAGAGCAGACAGAAGGACTTCCCTGGTAGTCCAGTGGTAAAGAGTCTGCCTGCCCACGCAGGGGAGAGTAGGTTAGATCCCTGGCTCAGAAGGATTCCACATGACGCGGGGCAACTAAGTCTGCGTGCCGTGGCTGCTGAGCCCACGTGCTGCAACTATTAAAGCCAATGCTGCTACAGCCTGAGCTCCCGAGTCCCTGCTCCGCGACAAGAGAAGCCACGGCAACGAGAAGCCACGGCAACGAGAAGCCGGCGCACCACAACCAAGAATAGCCCCTGTTGGCGGCAACTAGAGAAAGCTCACCCAAAGCAACGAAGACCCAGCACAGCCAAAGATACAATAAATAAATAAAAAGCAGACAGAGCAAAGCAGGTTACTCTAGTTCAGGCAGGGATGCGGGTCCTGGCCTGCCCTCGGCCTCCCACAGCACCTCTGGGGAACCTTAGGATTCTGGGAAACACTGGCCCTACTGCAAACTCTTTTTTTTTTTAATGAAAATGTTTATTTGGATATTTCCCCCAGTTTTATTGTGATATAATTGACATTTAACCTGCTGCAAACTCTTTTTTTTTTTTGCTTAAACAACAGAACTTTCTTTTCTCACAACTCTGGAGGCTGGGAAATCTAAGATCCAGGTGCTGGCCCATTCAGTTTTTGGTGAGGGTTCTCTTCCTGGTTTTCAGGCAGTCAAATTCTTGCTGTGTCCTCACGAGGTGGAGAGGGTGAAGACAGGAGCTCTTCGGTGTCTCCTTCCACAAGGACACTCACCCTATCATACCGTAGCCCTGACTTCATTTCACCATAATTACCTCCCAGTAGGCCCTGTCCCCAAATACAGTCACGTTGGCTGTTCGGGCTTTGATGGATGAATTTTGGGAGGACATGATTCAGCTGACAGCACAAGAGAAAGGGGAGATGATAGAGTAGAAATCTGGAGGAAATACCAAAACAGGATTGTGAACACTAGTTAGAGACATGAACGTTTCTCTCTATATCTGAAGAGGACAAGTTGTAACGAAAGCACAGAAACAGTTCTAGACAGGACAGACATTTTGGGAGTTTGCATTAGATGGCCTTGACCTCTGGAAGGCTGCACTCTTCCTCCCCAGTCTGCTGTTACCCATCTTTCAGAGTTATTTGACATTTACTTTATATACTCTGTCCAGGATTTTTAGATGTAATCACTAGGAAAAATTGGTCAGAGTGTGCTTTCTCTATCTTAACTGGAAGCAGAGTCCTTCTATGTAATTTTTTACCTGCTTAAACACATCTTTTCGTGAAAATTGAGATCTAATTGACGTTCAGTATTATATAAGTTTCAGGTGTATAGCATGTGTGTGCCAAGCCGCTTCAGTCATGCCCAACTCTTCGTGACCCCATGAACTATAGCCCACCTGGCTCTTCTGTCCATGGGATTCTCCAGGCAAGAATACTGGAGTGGGTTGCCATGCCCTCCTCCAGGGGATCTTCCCGACCCAGGGATCAAACTTGTGTCTCGTGTCTCCTGCATTGGCAGGTGGGTTCTTTACCACTAGTGCCACCTGGGAAGCCCCCAGGTGTATAGCATAGTGATTCACAATTTTTAAAGGTTATCAGTTCAGTTCAGTTGCTCAGTCGTATCTGACTCTTTGTGACCCCGTGAACCACAGCACACCAGGCCTCCCTGTCCATCACCAACTCCCAGAGTTTACCCAAACTCATATCCATTGACTTGGTGATGCCATCCAACCATCTCATCCTCTGTCGTCCCCTTTTCCTCCTGCCCTCAATCTTTCCCAGCATCAGGGTCTTTTC